AAGTTTACTATCAGAGAAAAAGTTTGCCATTCATCTGTGCATGACGGAAGGTCGTAGTAGAAGGTTTGCTCAATCAGAAATTCACAGCTTACCTATTGAAAGCTTTTGTAACAGCAAAAACAATGACATGTGTTTCTTGACTCCACGACACTTCATGACACTGATAATACCCCATGCTTGTTTGGCCGAGCCAAAACCGCGATGTTCAACATCCCTTTATTGTTCAATAAATATGTGGCTTTGATTCGGCAAAACAAGCATGGGAGATTCTCAACATGAAAATTACAGGATAAGCTTCAGATGTTACTTTATATCACTGATAAGGTGCTGATTCGAGATACTACGAAAGCTTCCTGTTTGTACGCATTAGAAACAGTAGAATTACGTGTACAGTTGCAATCTCCAGTTTTAATCAATCTTTAATACAGATTGAACATGAGTAAGCTCCCAGTCCTCTATGGAAATATTGAAACAGAAACATACCTTCTGAACCACATGTAGTGTGGACAGCTTGATCGAAACATTTGGACAATATTCCAGAGCAAGTACAAAGTATGGAGGTGAGAGGCGAGAAACACTTCTTAGCTCTCACTAAACAGTTGTTAGCGGATAGGCTCGATGGCCCGAAGCACTTTCGAAGCATGGATGTTCTGCTTGTCTTGACGCACTAAATTGGTGCAAAACCATCATCAGACATACTGCGGAGCTGGCAAGAGAGTCAAATGTATCTTAGTTACCAGGTTTACTCCTCTCACCACTAATAACTCTCTATATCTTAGCTTTTTTCCGGATTTGCTGAAATTGATGGGATAGGTGTGTGCCAGACCATTTCATCAGTGGATTCCAATAACGAATAGCTTTCTCTGACAAAGCTTGGCAATTCTTTAAAACCGAATTTGCGTTTGAGTACTTCTCATTAAGACATATAACAGGACAACTATGTCTTAGGGCCGTATTGTCAGTCGTTCCTACAATTACAGGACGCGTTTATGGCCTCCTTGATTTTCAAAGTTTTCGACTTTTCCGTGTCAGCGCTCTATTTTGAGGTTATGTCAAAAATATCTATTTGCATCAAATTGTCCATGATTTTGATTTATATCATGTTTTATCAGCCTGAAATTCCCTACAATTCAAAAAGAAAACATAACTTCACAATAGGAGAGCGCTGACGCTGTCCGGGAACAGGTGCAATCTAGAAATCTTTGAAGGAGAGAAAAGACTATGACAATCAAGGAGGCCATAAAGATATAATAATAATAATAATAAATGGGCTTTATTTCGTACCTAAGTAAAAGTACAAAAAAGTGTCGCTAAAATTAGCGTTTTTCAACTTAACCTTAACCTTAACAAAAAAAAAATATATATATATATATAATAAAACATTCTACCAACAAAAATGTATCCATAATTCTCAATAATTACTAAATAATTAAGAACACATAACAATTACAAGAATAGTCCATATTTCTAGCATTTTGTACTCATCATCAGACCTAGACTTGTAGTTTTAGTTTAAGCCTCTTTTTAAAATTAAATAACGTATAGTTTTGGAATGTAACAGGCAGATCATTGTATAATTTAATAGCATTGTAGCTGTATGATGTTTTGTAGACAGCCTTAGAATGTAAGGGTATCACTAACATATTCCTATTCCTTGTATTCAGTTGATTTAAGTCACTACATCGTGTTAACTTATTATGCAAATATTGTGGTTGTTTGGTAGCTAAAACCTTATGTGTGAGTGTCAATAAGTAAAGCTTTTGCATGCCTTTAATCTGCAGAATACCAAGTTCCTTAAATTTATGAGAAATATGATCAAACTTTCGTATTCCGCAAGAAAATCTGATGCACGAATTCTGAATACGCTGTAATTTGCTTTGTTCACTATATGATAGAGCTGCGCCATATATACTGTCACAATAACTGATTTTTGATATAATTAATGTTTCAGCTTTACTGAAGTAGATATTATTTGCCTATGTGGATAAAACTGTTTCAAAATGCAGTATGATGCACTACATAACGAATTTACGTGTTTTTTGTATTTTAGTTCTGTGTCAATCCAGAGTCCCAGGTTTTTACACTCATTCATTATAGGAAGCCGGCAATCATAGATTTTAAGGTTAATTTCCGTTTCGATCAATGTTCTTTTGTTTTTTGAGCCGAAAACCATAACTGAAGATTTAGATGGATTAATTTTTAGGTTATGTGAGCATGAGATGTCTACTAGCCTTGATAAGTCTTCGTTGAGCAATGCTTCTGCAATTTTAAAATCTTTGTGTTGGAAACTAAAATAAATTTGAGTATCATCAGCATAGTGATGGATTGTGCAATTATGGACATATTGATGGAAATCCGATATATATAGAGAGAAAAGTAAAGGTCCCAGTATGGAACCTTGTGGAACACCAAAACTTATAGCAGTTGACTGTGACATTTTCGAAGCTGTTAAGACCTTTTGATTTCTATTTGACAAATAGCAGCTTATCAAATTGACTGCAGCATCAGTAAAACCATAGTAAGACAGCTTAAGTAGCAGAATTTCAGGGTCTATCATATCAAAAGCTTTTGAGTAATCCAGCAGAACTAAACAAGTGATATTTCCTTGGTCAAGGCCTCTTATAACAGTGACATTGGCTAGAGCAGTTGCTGTACTATGGTTTTCCCTGAATCCGGACTGCATTGATGGAACTATTTCATTACTGAAAATATACTGAGATATTTGTATCTTCATTTCCCGTTCCAAAAGCTTCGAAAATGCGGGAAGTAAGCTGATTGGTCTAAGTTGCGTTACAGACGTGGGACTCGCTACTTTAGGAATAGGTATGATGATAGCCTGCTTCCAAACATCAGGGAAACATGATGTTGATATTGCGTGATTGATTATAAATGTAATATGGTCTAAGAGCAAAGTGAAAATGTATTTTATCATAATGAGTGAGATTCCATCAGCCCCTACAGCATTAGTTTTAATAAATGAGAAACTCTTCGCAACAGATTCTTTGGCAACCTTTTGGAAACAGAATGACTTGGGAAACTTATTGTTTTGATATTTGTTCAGTAGTTCTAGTTGCTTTTGTGTCTTGGTTATGATCAGAATTGAGAAATGTGAATTTATTTCATCTGCGTCATTGAAGCTATCTGGAAGAGTATTTATAGAGGACTTAATTATATTAAGTTTCCTAAGAGAACTCCATATTGCTTTACTGTTCCTCCCAGATAGGATATATTCCATATAAGCCTTTTTCTCTCTCCGCAGAGCAGCAGCAGCGTAGATGTCCTACAATTGTAGGAACGACTGACAATATGGCCCTTAGAAGCATTGTATACTAAGTGACAAAAAAAGATAAACACGTACGTATGTTCATCCGATTTTAATAATTGTTTTCATATATTTATGTGCCGTGTTCCTTACTAGTAAAATGATTGAATTTTCAGCTTAATTCGTCAACGGACTGCAGAACCTGGTTCAATAATGTGTTGAGGATCCCCGATTTCTTAAACACCCATTGACACGCCTGGGCACGGTACTGATAAGGTGGTCGATATCCTGTTGAGGTATCTTATTCCAGGCTACTGCAACTTCGTGCAGTAAGAGCTGCTGAAGTCTGTGGAGGGTGTTGCAAATTCAAGAGCCTGCGACCTAACATGCCCCAGACATGTTCAATTGGAGATAGGTCAGGCGATCGTGGCGGCCAAGGTAAACGGTTGATGCGATGTTGATCCAGGAAGGCTAACGATGCCCTGGCAATATGCGGTCTGGCATTATCTTGCTGAAAAATCGGTTTTTGGATGGCGTTTAGGTATGGAATAAGATAAGGCTCCACTACTTCCTGAATATAGCGTCGGGTTGTCATATTGCCTCTAATGAAAATTAGTGCTGGTTTGCTACCGAAAGCAAAAGCACCCCATACCATAACGTGACGCTCTCTGTCTCACTCGTTCCCGACCATCGTGCATCCCTAGAAAGAAGCGGGATTCGTCACTAAAGACCACCTGATTCCATTCCTGGTCCTAAAAAAGTCTTTTTCTACACCAGAGCAAACGGTTACGCCGATGTTCAGCTGTGAGAGGTAGCACCCGATGTGGGCGATAAGAAAAAAGGCCAAATTGTCGTATTCGGTGATAAACCGTACGCATACCAACCATCCTTTCATGCTCTTCAAACCACTGATTAGCCATGGCTCTAGTACTACTGAATCTGTCTCTCAGAGTCAGAAGTCTTAACCAGCGCTCTTGTCTCTCTGTGGCCCCTCTGGGACGTCCATAATCCCTCGCTCGCTGTTCTCGGCCGTTCTGAGTTCACGTCGTTCACACTGCAGTATACTGCGGCTTGAATCTAATAAACATACGTAGGTGTTTACCTTTCTTTGTCACTCAGTATATTCACCAAACAGGTGCGTCCCAAGAAGTGAGATTTCGCCAATCATCGATCTGGCACTATGAATATATGTATGTAGACTGCAGTCATCCTCAAAGATGATCAGCGGACTTATCGTTCAAGAAGACAGTTTGATAAATAATTTATAACCAGAACCTCGGGAACACCCCAAGAAAATGAAGAGGAGAGCCCATCAACTATTGGGTTGTTGATCTGTTATATAATACTTACCAGAAATAAGTCATTTTGTTCAGTGAGAATCAGTATAGAAAGGAAAATCATGTGCAAGGAAACGTTGCGCATCAAAGAATGATGTTCCCTGTCGATATCGGTCCAGCTAATAAAGATGCCTCAGCCTGGAGATTTGTGGCTTTGTCTCCAGCATAATCACCTTGCTGGTCACGACGCGTTCAATCACTCCGTGCCAGATAGACAACCGGAATAATGCTTTCTTATATTCGTACATACATATATACGAGTACGTGAGATTGTTAGATAGTGAAATATCGATTGGCTCATAGATAGTCATATCTCTCAAGATTATGGAAACGACGTGCATATTCTAGATGATATAGAGATAGATATAGAGAAAACAAAGATAGATTTTTTAAATTGACAGAGTGACAGAATTTATAAACCGGTATCGATGTACAAAGCTTGTTGGCATATTGGTAGCAGATTATTGATCGAACCCCTGAACAGCACCAAGTATGGACAGTGTTACAGTGTAATCAAATCAGTATCTCCAGTACCTCATTTTCATCTCAAGACGCAAGACGAGTAATAAAAATATTGATCAACTGTCGAGCAAAATAACCAAATATGGAATACCACTTTAATGTAGGGTTACAAAAAGAAAACTATACAGAAATGAAAATAGTTCATTACTAACTACGAGTATAAACCCATTTTCAGGTAGTAATTAAAAGCATATGTTACGTATATTAGAATTGGAAATCGAACGCGAAGAACAGAGTAAATGAGTATCTAAGTAAGGAGTATCCACCAAAATATTAAGTATAAACTTAAGGCGGTAATTTTAAAATTACAAATAGGCATAAGCATATATGAGGCTGCTGCATATTCTGAATACTGTTAATTGTTTATAGGCGGAACAAAGTTTTCCTGAGTACTTGAAAATGCTGTGCTGCTTTTAAATATCCCATTGTCCCATTTTCCTTTCTCTGGCAATTTTATAGGTTCTACCAATTTGCCTTCATTTCAAAAAGTAGCATGGGTATGTTAGGACCAATTCCGTAATTAGGCACCAACAACTCCCCACATCTGGTTTTTCATACTCGTTCAGACTTGTGTATATTATATATTGCCTATACTCATATAATACCGACGTGCTTAATAGTATAACATGTAAGTTAACATATTTCGAAACTTTTATTCCGAAGTTCCATTGTCTATAAAATTTTGGAGAGTCCGAAATAAAAGATTTGGAACATCTACGTTATCTGCAAATGTTAAACAACAATAAGCAAACATACATAATGTCTGAAAATCCTCATTCATTACATACCTATCCAAGTTTCTGATAAAAACAGAATATTCCTGAGGGTGTGAGCGCAATAGTAAAGTGAGCGAATAAAATGAAGGTGACCTTGAGTTGGCAGACTTGTACCACTCATAAGCAGTCAATACTAAGCTTTCTTATCAACCGAACCATCGCCGCTATGGTAAAGAGTAAAGCTTGACTGAACGTGTTATTATAAAGCTCCTAAAGATGGAGTCTAGGTGGGATTATCAGATAGGATAATACGAATCCTTTGTGGAAATCGGAATGTTTGAGATTCTGGAAAATACTGATAACTCTCAATATCTATATGCTATGTAGGCCCAACAGTTCTTCGAACTTATAAAAAATCATAATTTTATTATGTGATATACCTTTTAGACTGATTCCTTAGAACATAAAATATCTCAATGGCGAACAAAGCTGCCGTAAAATAACATTTCTAGTAATCAGATGAGGTGCTGGATGAATTCAAGTGAGACTTTAAAAAAAGGTAGTAAGGAAATAGTGAGAAATAGTGAATTTCTACGTAAAAAAGTGAGTTAATTTTCTGAGAAATTGAAAACCATAATGCCAAATCTAAACGGATAATATAAATAATACTGTCTGAAAAAAACGAGAATAAATCGTATAAGGTCATTGTTACTGTTTCATTGACGTACGCAATTATTTATATGTATGCAAATTTTAAAATCAAATGCATACGATGCATAAATGAAATATAACAAATTCTTTTAAATGCGGGGGATGAACTTATATTAGCGAAGTAATGGTAAAAAGTGAAATTTGATATAGTCATTACAAATGCGCATTGCGAAACTATCTAAGTAACATTTTATTAGTTACCTAAATGCGCAACTTTGCATTCATAAACGAGTTTGTATTGTATTGCATACCGCTTCCGAGATTTTGTATTGTATTCATAGGTTTAACTAATCCTAATAATTTCTGATGTAATACATATTGGTTCATCTTGAGCTACACGAACAACCTTATCATAGTTAATTTTTATAAGAGAAATTGGCTTTATTTAATTCCGTAGGGCTGGAGAGAATGAGGAGGAAACGTTGTTAAACTACAATATGTACAGCAAGAGCGAAGATCTTCTTGTAGTAGACTGCAAAATCTCTTTTAAATACGTCACGGCCATTTCTTATTGAGTTACCTCCAGCAGCTACATAGCTGTGTGTGAGTTTTCAACAGAAACGTACAGAGATCATTGGTGAGGTCGAAAATCACTTGACATAAGGCCTACCGAGTCTCAGAACTTAAGACTGCTAGTTTATTTTCGAGCTGATAGAGAGTTATTGTTTTACATAAATTCAATAGGAATTGTCATAGTTACTAGATGATCAACTTAATAATCGAGGGTCATTGCTAGAAAAGACAATGCAAAAATCCTACCTGGAAAGAGCTTTCGGCAAATTTACCTAATAATTCAGTATATTGTAGATCTCAACACCTAAGACCAAAGTATTCTTGGCTTAATTTTTTTCCTGGAGTAGCTTCCGAGATATTTTTGGAATGTATTCCCAGTAGAATGGTGCAGAATATTATCATCGTCATTTGAAAAAGTGACAAAATTGCAATGTTGGACCGGTATGGATGCAGATACAAACTTAAATATTAAACAGCTGTTACGTATCGTGTAGTGAACCCACAATTCGCTGTTATAGGGTACGAATTGCCCAATTTGGAGGCCCAATATCTCGGAGGCTACTCATGTGACAACATTGGGCCTATCGATGCTTTTGTTCTACGTTTTGAGAGTTTTTTTTTAGAAAATTTACCGAACGTGATTCTTCGCAAGGTTACTGCGGGAGAAGAAGGTATTCATTTGGAAATATGGGATACGAATATCAAAGTGTGTTTTTAAAAATCTTCAAAGTACATTTAGAGGGCACCCTGGTAGATAGCGCATTAAATATTTTTCTTGTGAGATGTATTTGTACATATTCAGTGTGTTCATCCCAGTGGAACAAAATAAAGTAATTACGTCTGTTATCTGGCTGTTTTTATGCTTCACCTGATCAGAATAAATACTCTTCGGTTCATGTACAATAATTCACTAAACTTGTATACATAAATTGGATATCTCGACTGGCAGGTTTATCGAGGGGAAAGACCAATTCGCGCAACTGTAATGACACAGAAAGGTTTGTGCTCAATACCGTACAACGACAAAAATTTAGTCAAATAAAACATTTTGAGTCTGTTGTTTTTTCAGAGAAGATACTTCCAAACATTTACGGCAACATCTTGAAGATGCAGTAGATGGATAGACGACCTAATGCAACTGGAGCTGACGCTTAGTAAAAGGATCACAGCTGACAGCTGTTGCCTTTTACATACATTATAAATGACGAAAAGTGGGAAGAAAGAGTCCAAAATCGTCTGGCTGTTTATTACTTATCCATTTATGCCTGTCCAGAGATATTGTCTATCAGTTATCCTTTCACAAATTGGTCCGCAGATATCACCCTGCTGCTTCAGGTACCTGAATGTATCCACGGAACACAAACTAAAAGCGTCTGTTGATTTGTCGGTTTGTCTAATCCTTGGCCCGTCTATAACTTGGAAAGTGCCGCTCCGATATGGATGACATTTTCACTCAAGGACCAAGGCCAATGACGAAAAAGCTTTGCAGGTTTTGAGGATCTAGTTTTTGGACTAGTAGAGGCGGAGCTATGGATAAAAAGCAAATAGAAAATTCGGAAAATGTTTGTAAAAATCAGGGGCTGTAAGGATGGGAGAAAATATACCTCAAATTTTCTGGCGTTAATTAATTTATACGCTTCCAACCTCGGTACTAGCATGATACATTTAATTGCCTGTTATACATGTCGGTAGCTCATAGACGAATACTTGTGCCGAACATAATCATCTATGAACTGACGACAGCGCTTCGTATAAAGTGCAGAGTCAATCTACTTGACACTATTATTTCCTATGGTAATTGGTACTGAAGATCCCTTCAAATCACCTCAATTAAACTAGATCATCCAGCTTGGCAGGAATGAACTAAATATGTATAACCCTTTAAACTATCCTTTAAATTTTGACTATTCAAAAATCATGCGGAACTTTTCCAGTCGTTTGGTAGAAACGAAAAATGATTTCCATAGCAATACGATTTCTGTGTCTTCCTTTTATTCGGGCACTTTAAAAATCCCATTACGTTCAATTCAGCTACAAATTGAACCCAAGAGGAAATTTATAATTTTAAATTCCAGCAAGTGCCGTCATATATATTTATATTCGAGGAGGAAGTAGGTCACCCCATAAAAGCATATTTATACATATGGATGCCATTCCAGCGAATATAAGGAATGGAAAGGGTAAGTGGGAGGAGAGGAAGATGGGAATTTATACATACGGGTACATGGTAATGCCTTGTTTTTTTTCTACGAATGTTGACAGGCCTCTCAAAAATGTAACATTCACGATGCCACTATGATTTATTGATTATTGATGATCGACAAGAGTCTTAATTTTATATACTTAAATTTCGGATCACCCCGCAGTGGTTTATGGCATTTTGTAGGTTTTCCTGGAAGACGTCAATTTTTAACTAGCTGTCGTTAACTTCATGCTCACTTGTAGCAAGCCCGGAAGAAACTATCTGCACACTAGCCTACTTAGTCAACAAGTTGACATTCTATAGTTTTTTTATATTATATAGGGTTTTTTAGTAATAACCTGCCAGTTCGTAGGTACTTTTTGAACACAATTTCACACAAAAACGAGGCTAAGATCATTAGTCACCAAGAAAATTCAACTTTTAAAAGCTAAGGAACTGGATAAAGTTGGTTAGCGACGTAATATATTTCTAAAAAATCTTGATGGATCTAGATTTATTTCTCACTGCCCCTTAAAGTAGGCAGAAAGAAATCCGAAAGCGTACATCTGATACTTCTTTTTTGTTATACTAAGGGCCGTATCGTCAGTCTTTCCTACAATTGTAGGACCTAATGGCCTCATTGATTTCGATAATATCATGTCTTCTTCGATAAGGTACTCACACTATTCGTCTTTGTCTGTCAGAGCGGTCCGTAGGACCTTTGCTCTTGGTTGAAGTCTTGTAAGTCAGTAGGTCTGTCAGGTCTGGTTGCCCAGATACCAAACAAAGTCAGGGAGAAAGAAGGGAAGAAGAAATGAAGGAAGGAAGGAGGGAGAGCAAAGAAAAAAAAGTGCATCAATTTGAGGGGTGCCTTGGCATTGCTAGTTAGTATTCGGCAATTTTAAGTTGATCCTAAAATTAATTTTGGGATTGGTTGTTGAAGAAAAATTATAATTTTGGTTGGACCTAAAGTCGCACGATTTAATTTTGTTCACAGTGCAGCCTTGTGTGGTTGCGAACTTGCTCGACTGTGTAGTCTACTGACTAGCGCAACAAAGGGTTGTTATGCGATTTATGCTTGACTGTAACGTAGCTGCGCTTGTTGTTTGATGTAGTCCCTTAGGTAAGGGATGACAAGGTCTCTGTTGGAAACATACCATGGGGCGTTAAAGCTGCTACACACAGTGCCGGCGGCAATGCCGCCGGGTTTATGCCGAGCGGCTATGCCGCCGGCAATACAAGCCGCGCAAAGCCGTCAAGCATCATTCCGGTTGTGACAGTCACATAGAAAGCTAGTGAAGTGCTGCATTTCTGGGATTCCATAATATATCATTTTCATGAAATATTTCAATTAAGAGCAGCACAGCTCCGTCGTCCCAATTAAACGACATTTTAATTTGTTTAAACACACAAACCGCACAACACTACCGCTCGAATGCCAGGAACGAAGTGACGCCGGCAAGCCGCGTAACCCGCCGGCACACCACGCCGGCTCCTTTGCGCGGCAAGGCCGGCGGCTTTGTATGCCGCCGGGTGTACGGCGGCTTAGCCGGCGGCTTGCCCGGCGGCCCTGTGTGTAGCAGCCTTTAGTGATTGTACGCAAGGTTCTGTTCTGCAAAACCTGCAGGCTACGCAAATGCGTTTTGGCGAGAAAACACCAAGCTGCACTTGGGTTAGTGATCGCTGGTCTAATAACCGTCTTGTATAGCCGAACTTTGTCGATCAAACTTAATTTTGATGTTCTACATAGCATAGGGTAGAGTTGCCGAAACGAGATTTGGAATTTAGTTTTTAACGCTTCAGTGTGCTTCTGCCAGGTTATCCCCTTGTCAAGAGTGACACCGAGATACTTAGCAGAGCTTTCCCATGGTATCCGAGCTCCATTCACTGAAACCTCAGACGGGGCGCCGCTACTTTTTTTAGTACTATAGATAGCCTGCGTTTTCGAGTAATTAATTTTGATTAGCCACCGATCTGCCCATTCCAATACCTCATCCACCGCACTTTGTAACCTGACGTGAACCAGATTCCCGGGACGCGACTGCGTCACCAGTGCAGCGTCATCAGCATCTAGATAGACTTCATAGTCGCTAGGGCAAGGGACATTATGCGTGAAAAGTGAATAAAGGATTGGCAATAGAACCGAACCCTGAAGGACGCCGACCCTGATGGGCCGTACTGTCGACAAGAAATTATTAATTTTGAACCGAAATTTCCTACCTTCAAGACATCCAGAAGTAAATGCCAGTACTTTCGTTAAGGGTGAAGCCCCTGGTTATTCACTAACATCACTAACACGTAAAAAGAAGGTGGTAGACAAGGACCAGTCGACCGAGGCAGTACCACCCGCTAGCTTTTCCCAGGGTGTCTTATAAATGTCCGCATGTTTCCACACCTAAGCTATGCAGTCGGTTATCTACCAAAACAAAGAAATTAATGATGATGGATCCCTCGAGCACTAAAAACTCCGGACGTAAACTCACTCCACTCTCGGAATGTCCGGGTGGAGGGTGGGCTCGAGGGAACAACATCGAAGATAAAATTTGTTTTTCGAACATCTGCGGGATCAACAGCAACATTGATGCTGTTCATCACTACCTGCAATCCAATCGTCCCGCCGTGCTTTTCTTGGCGGAGACAAAAATCTCAGAGACTGCACCGATTAACCATCTCAACTTCCCAAACTACGAGGTACACTCCAATCTGAGAAAGAACGGGGGAGTTGTGGCTTTTGTCCGCAGCAGTCTTTCCTGCTCCAGGGATCTTTCTTTGGAATCAGACCGGAAGGACATTCTGTGGCTTCGCCTCAGCTCCAAAACATCACCCAAATTTATTTGCTGCCTTTATCGCTCTCCCTCGAACCATAACTGGGATGACCTACTCGAATACCTCGCCGTCCAGATCGACTTCCTGAACATCAATCACCCCGCTTCAGAGGTAGTTATTCTCGGTGATTTCAATGCCCATAATGAGCTTTGGTTGGGCTCAAATAAGACCGATGCAGCAGGTCGTGTAGTCGAAGCGTTCGCTCTTTCTCAAGGGCTGACCCAGCTGGTCACGAGCCCTACTTTTTTCCCCCGCGTCTCGTCACACGCCAGTAGCCTGCTGGATCTCTTTCTGACCACGCATCCTGCCCCTTACAGCACTGCTGTCCTGTCCCCCCTGGGTAACTCAGATCACGGTGTTGTGGAGGTTAGGTTTCGGTCAGAAGCCGCTGTGGCAGCAGAAACTCGCACAGGCCGCAAAACTTGGCATTACGGACATGCCGACTGGGAGGGGCTCAGAGATTTCTTCTCTAGCTTTCCTTGGAGAGATGTCTGTTTCACTGCCGCGGATGCGTCGACTGTCTGTTCTTCAATAACCGAAATTATCCACGTCGGAATGGAGGAATACATCCCTCACACAGTGAAAGTTCCTAAACCAGGGCCCAACGGCTGGTTCAACAAATCGTGTGACACTGCTCGCCAGCAGAAGATCAAGGCCCACAGAACCTACTTACAAAACCCCACTGTAGAGAACAGACAAGCCGACGTCGAGTCCAGAAACAAATATAACGAAGTGGTTCGCAATGCCAAAAACCAGCATGATATAAAAGTTAGGCACAGGGTAATGTCGCAGCGCAATGGCAGTCGGTCTTTCTGGACGCTGGCCAAGCAGATTGAAAAGAACTTCTCACACAGTAGCCTTCCACCACTTACGTGTCAGGATGGAACTATTGTATTCGACTCAAAGGCCAAGGCGGAAGTGCTAGCCAAGATCTTTGCTGCCAACTCCACCATGGACGTCTCCACCAACGCCCAAGTGCCGTCAATTCAAAGGGTTCCCCACACTATGCGGGAGGTAACATTCAGGCATAAGACCGTAAGACGAGTGCTCTTGTCGCTCGACATCAACAAAGCTTCTGGTCCGGACTTGATTCCTGCCATTGTACTGAAGAGATGTGCAGCGGAGCTTGCTCCAGTTCTTTCGCGTCTCTTCCAGATATCTTATGAATCCGGCACCTTCCCAGAAAACTGGAAGTTTGCTCAGGTACAGCCCATCCCAAAAAAAGGATCTAAGACAGACCCTTACAACTACAGGCCTATAGCTCTGCTTTCTGTTATAAGTAAAGTGATGGAGAGGTGCATAAATCGCGAGCTTCTGGACTACCTCGAACGTCATAGCTTGATTAGCGACAGGCAGTACGGTTTCCGGCACCAACGATCCACAGGGGACCTCCTAGCTTACGTCACGCAACTGTGGAGTAAACTCATCCAGTCTCATGGTGAGGCTCATGTCGTTGCTCTTGACATCACGAAAGCGTTCGATCAGCTGTGGCACGCTGCCCTCTTAAGCAAACTTCCATCCTATGGCCTCCCAGAAAAGCTATGCAGATGGGTGGCTGACTTTATCTCTGGCCGCAAGATATCTGTCGTAATTGACGGATTCTCCTCTTCATCCCACAACGTCAACGCGGGTGTTCCCCAGGGATCGGTCTTGGCTCCAACACTGTTTCTCTTACATATCAACGACCTCCTTTCCTGCACGATCAACCCAATCCACAGCTTCGCTGATGACAGCACTCTACATGCAGGAATTCAGAGTGACAAGCCGATCTCTGCCGCTGAGCTGGAAAAAAGAAGACTAGCGACGACTTCTTCTCTGACAAGAGACCTGGAGGCTATCACTGCTTGGGGACGCAACAATCTTGTACAGTTCAATGCTTCCAAAACACAGTACTGTACTTTGACGAACAAAAAGCGTCCTAGCGCTCATACAGTTTCGATGGACGGTCGAGTTCTACCAAAGAGCCATTCATTTCGGCTGGTCGGAGTCCAGATCACCGAGGACCTGATCTGGCACGAACACATCTCTTCAATAGCTGCAGCTGCTGGGAAAAAGCTAGGCTATTTGTTTAGGGCTAAGAAGTACTTTTCTCCGCATGACATTCTCACTCTATACAAGGCCCAGATAAGGCCTAGCCTCGAGTATTGCTCACACATTTGGGGTGCTGCCGCCCCGACTACATTGTCCATGCTCGATGCTGTCCAGAGGAGGGCGGTCCGACTGATCGACGACTCTTCTCTAACAGACAGTCTCGGGACTCTTTCGCACCGGCGGGCCGTCGGCGATCTAGCTCTTTTCTATCGCTACACCAACGGGCTTTGCTCCTCAGAGCTCTCTTCCATGATGCCGCCGCGCGATGTGCCTGCCAGACAGACCCGCCTGACTTCGGCGTCCCATCCTAACCGTGTCAAACTTCGTACATCCAGAACTGGCCGATACGACCGCTCCTTTGTCCCGAGGGTGTCTAGATTCTGGAACAATCTACGGGAGGAAGCTTTTCCCACTTCTACTAACCTTAGGCAGTTCAAAAATCGTATTAACAAAATTTCTTTGGGATCATCATAGCAGCCGCGGTGTTCCGGCATTTAGGCTTCTGCCTACGCGGCTGTTTCGATATAAAAAAAAAAAAAAAATTATGCGTGAAAAGTGAATAAAGAATTGGCCCTAGAACCGAACCCTGAAGGACGCCGACCCTGATGGGCCGTACTGTCGACAAGAAATTATTAATTTTGAACCGAAATTTCCTACCTTCAAGACATCCAGAAGTAAATGCCAGTACTTTCGTTAAGGGTGAAGCCCCTGGTTACTCGCTCCACAAGCCCAACCGCCTGTAACTCCGTACTATGCTAAGACCGAAATCCAAATTGCACTTCAGGAAGCACATGGTGATCTGATGAGAAATTCGCAAGGTGACGTAGAATCACCTTTTCAGCAAGCTTAGACGGAGCAGACAGTAGGCTGATGGGACGATAGTCCTGGGGAAATATCGGACCCACCTTCTTATAACCTCATTATAACTTCCGCAGTCTTTCCACGCCGATGGAAAGTCCTTAGCATGGCATTGATTATTGCCACGAGATAAGTTAAGGACTTCCGCGAAAGTAGCTTCAGCGCCTTATTAGTGATTCGATCCTCTCCAGGTGCTTTAGGCACCTTGAGGTCTTTAATATGACCTTGGAGCTCTGCTGGTGTGCAATGCGGAGTCTCCGGCGATTCCGCTGATGTGCCGTGCAGCTCTTCAATTGAGGAATCTTCTGAAGATTCCTCTGAGGAAAAATCGCTAAGGGAGGCACTACTGCCACTGACGCCGTTGGCCCTAAAATATCTTCTGACGGATCTTACAATATGTTGCTCCTCGTCGAGGTTTTTATCAAGGTCATAGTTGGGAGAGAACTGACTTTCGGTTGCATCAGCGAAAACCTCGACCTTTTCCTTTGTCCTGCAGACTAAGCCCCTATGACCGTGGATGTGCGGGAGTTGTTCTTGCTTTCCGTTTCTGAGCGACTTTGCAACTTTCCAGAGAGGAATACTTGGGCCAAGGATCCCCGACAGAAAGTCGCTCCATTGCTCATTACGGAATTCATGAAGAGCATTTCTCACTTCATGAACAAGATTAGTTGCTCTGTGAATGTCATCTTGCAGCTCTTTTGTCCGAAATTTTCTGACGAATGTCTGCAGGGAGAAAAGGTCTGCCGTGTCGTCGTACTGGTAGTACAGCTGCACGCTGCAGAGCTTGTTGAACGGAACTTGTCCACTCCGCTTGAGCAGCATCTATATCGTTCTCATCATCTATGATCGGGATATTGGGGAACTCTCTAAGGAGCGACTTGTATAGCTCCCAATCAACCCTTTTCCTTGGAAGAGTTTCCCCTTCCAAGGTTTGCTCATTACCCACTTCCAGTACGATAGGAAGATGATCGCTCGAAATGTCATACATGATTCGAGAAGTGACACTGAATCTACAGTTTCTAGATATCGCGAAGTCAATGACACCTGGTGCATGAAGGTGATTAAATGGGTGGTGAGTCGGCTCCTCAGTGCTGTGTATGAGGTAGCCGTTTCGTATCACATGGTTGTAAAGTCGAATCCCACTGGTGGAATTTAACCTAGAGTGCCATGCTCGATGTTTACAGTTAAAGTCCCCTGCTACAATAAGCGGACCCGAGCAGTCAAACAGGACTTCCAGATCTGTCTCTTGCAGCCTGGCACCACATCTGACATAAACCGATGTGATTTTCAACGAGATACCTCCCGCCATATTCACTACCACGGAAGTTGCATCGATGCTCTGCATCTCAGCGTTTGTGCTTCTGTAATAGTCAATACCACGTTTTACTAGCACTGCCAAACCGCCACCCCGTCCAGTTAATCTATCAGCGCGGATAACATCATAATTCGAGAAAGCTAGACGATCTCCCGGATTAAGCAATGGTTCCTGCAGCAGAGCTACATCTACGTTCTCATCCAAAAGAGCTTGACGAAATTCCCGTTTTTTGGGGACATCCCTAAGACCCAAACAATTCCAGAAAAGAATTTTGATGAAATCAGGCCGTCTGCTATTGTACCTAGCCATTTAGCGGAAAGATCGCGTGCAATGCCTTAGTGGCGCTTATCAGGGGATTAATAATCTGCTGTAGGGACCTGAGCGCTGCTGCTAGGTCCACATTTTGAGTAGTCATAGGGACAGTTGAGGTGTCATTTCTTGCTGCGTCCGCGTAGGACTTTGCTCGCCTTTGTGCGATGACTTGTAGATTTCTCCTAGGAGTAAATCTACAGGTCGAACTATTTGCCGGATGGTCCCCCCCACAGTTCGCATATCTGCAAACCTCTTGTCCTGTTTAAGGGCACATATTATATGTCATGTGGTCTTGGGCACATTTTAGACACTTTGGCGGCGCAGTGCAATACGACTGTGCGTGTCCATACTTCTGTCAGCGGTGACACTGCTCAATGAGTCGAGAGTTCTTCTGAACTTCGACTATGCTAGAGAGCCCCAGCAATTCATGCTCGTTGAACACTTGCTGTGACTTATCCGTCTTAGGCAGGATCACCACCACCAAGGGCATGGGCACGCCGCCGTTGCGCTTTAGGCGAATGATGTGAAAGGGAGCGTAACCCTGCTGTTCTAGTTCACCTTTGTCCTCCTGTTCGGTGGTTGATGCTGGGATACCTCTGATAACCGCATGGATGTTGCGTTCAGTGGGCAAAGGGAAAGTGTGATGAGGAATGTTTTCCTTTTTGAAAAGACGGATTATCCTGCGATAATCGTCTTCGGTTTTGGGGATGATACGTATCCCAGCGTCAACGGTGACTGCTCGTTCAATACGAATACCAAGTCTTACAAAGGAATAGTTTAAGGTGCGCTATTTTGTCGCATCTCTCAACAAGATTGGAGTAATACGCACTGTGTGTTTAGAGATCCGCTGGATGGCAAGGAAGATGAGTTGCAGCCAGCCAATGGATCTGCACTTGGGGTATAACAGGAGGAGCACTCTGTGTGGTTGCTGATAAAGGTCTTTCCCTTGGCTGACTAGTAGAAGCGGTAGAGGGTACAGACACAGACGGTTTTAGGTTGCCTGAATGTTTGTTATTTGGGGATTTCGTCGGTAGCGGAGGAAATTCTGTTTTGCGCAGTCTCACTTTGCGACGTCGAACACGTGTGAAAAGATCACCCTGTGTGTCCTCATCGGTCTCAGTATGTAGGTCACTCGAATGGCTGTTATGTCTACGTTTCGCTGTTTTGGAAGAATCAACATTGGGAACTGTTTTATGAATGATACTTGTAAGCTTAAAAACCTGGGCATTAAGTGACTCCACACAGTCAGTCAGTCTCTGAATCTGGGCTGCTTGGTCTGCAATTATCTTCAAAAGTCTCTGGCTGTCGTTTTCCTTCTCCAGTATCGGTGTCATCCCGGATGTCATCATTGGCGTCATCTCGTTTTGGTTTTCTGGAATATGTTCCAAAGTAGCGCTGCACTCCGCGCCAACTCCACTCAAAGCAGTAGAGGGGTCGCCTGGGGACCACTCGGGTTCAGCTTCCATAATATTATTGCCTTCTTTCTTGCCAAAATATAAAAATTTCTCCGGATGCAAAATTTTGGCAATTAATGGCAGATGATGCACATCTGTCATGGATAAGGTACTCTTATGTCCTGCTTTAGATTTCCGGCATGCTGACAGTTCTGGCTAGAGGTTATGTTGTTGTTTTGACGTTCAAGAAGTTTTAGACATGAATCGAAGGCAGAAGCATAATTTATTATTTTCTTGCAAATGATGTCGATCAGTCAATAATACTTCGCTACATTGAACAAATTCCACATGCTGTGGTATCTTCAAGAAATTGTTGGGTTAGGAAAATTAATGCACATGGATATATTATATTATAATGTTATATTTGTATGTATAAAAGGTCCAAAAGGTTACAACCAAGCTATTCTCCTGATGAAGGTTAGTAAGTTACAGAACAAATTATTGCATATTCATATACTTATCGCATTATTTTCAGGTGTGATTCATTCCCACAGACTTAATGAGATGGTTCCTATATGGATAAGAAATATTGTATAACAAGTGCATTTCTTGCATTTTCGATGTCACAGATGCTTTTTCGCAAATCATTGTAGGACTCTGGATTGTGTAGTGTGTCAGGGCACAATGTGTGTATGTTGTGAAGATCATAATCCATCGCTACTTCAAGGTGCTCAAAACGCCAGGGTCATGTACGATTACCAAAAATGAGGTGTTACAGAGACTAAACATTAAAATAGAATTCAAACAACTAGATAAGCGGAAAAGACCCATTATGTTGAAAATGGTAGGTACCTCAATGTCAGACTAGTTTAAGCACCAATAAGCAGTTATAAGATAACTGCATTGGATTCATAATTCACTTATCATTACAGGTAGATAGATGCTGCAAGTACCAAATTAAAAGTCCTAACTTTATCATTTATTTATTTATTTATTTATTTATATACAGTTTGGGGTGTTAACAGGTAAACCCAACACACACCCTCAGTGAACTAAAACTAAACTTACATAAAATATCGTATACATATACATATATTACATTATTGAATACTTCAATATTAATATTTTTTTTTATCCTCCGATATTGTTGTAACAACATAAACTGAGTGAGTAGTTCTAATTATAAGCAATTAACTATTAATTTAACTTTTTTAATAAAAGGAGTATACGTAATTTAACATTTACTTACGTTTAATTAAAACTGAAATCAAAATTAAATTGAAATTATACCAGAAATGATATTGGAGGTGATAACTATGTAAAAAAATAAAACATTTCTATTTTAGTCTGCCATAGAGCTGTAATACTCATACTTTAAAGCCTTTTTCAGGGAGGTCAAGCTAATGTTAAATAAATCTATATTACAGAAATTATTATGATTTTTTTGAGCCCTGAACAAAGGGGAATTAAGACCAAGATTGGTTCTACGGAACGGTATTCTAAACAGATGTAGGTTCTAAACGTTCTATCAGGAGTGTTAAAGTTCAAGTTTGCCAAAAGATCCGGACAGTCAGTGAGGCCATTCAACAATTTATGGACACAGCAAATGTCAGAAATCGTTCTTCTATCTTTTAAGGAAATCATATTGAACTGTTTCATAATTTGCGTATAATGATGATCTGTAACAGGTTGGTGAGTTTTATGTGCTAACATCTTCAAAAATTTGTGTTGAATTCTTTCTATCCTGACTATATGTACATTGTAAGACGGATTCCATATTACTGATGCAAACATCAGTTTGTTGTGTATATAAGCGTAGTACAATGAAAGAAGCGTTTTTGGGTTCGTAAATTCTCTGCATGTCCTGTTTATGAACCCTAGTGTTCTATTTGCATCATTTACGATGTGCTCTACGTGGGTGATGAGTGAGAGTTTCTCATCAATGTATACCCCTAGGTCTTTTACTACATGAAGCTTTTCCAGTTCTGCCGTCCTATCTTATATCTGAAATCTATAGTGTTCGCTATGTTTCTAGTAAGCCTCATGTAATGACATTTTGTTAAATTCAGGAAGAATTCATGAACTTAACATGTAAGACTCATTCTATGCAAAAATGAACTTTATAACCTAACCTGGCTCTGAGGTATAGAATTTGATTTGTATTCAAACTGCTGGGTATAAATTTTGGATTTAAATTGCTATCAATAATGACGACTTCACCTACTGAGGATACTAAAAAAATACATCAATGGAATTATCAATAACAAGGAGATCAATACACTGAGCCTCAAAGTACAATATTTTGTATTTATCAAATGTGTTGCACCATATATTAATGTTGTAGAATGTGGTACATGAAAAAAAAAAGTGAGGAAACCTAAATACAGCTTCTTTTCCAATTCGTTCGTTAATTGACTTGTAATCTTAACATAAAAGGGAAAATATATTAAAACGGTGCCATAGGAAAGAAAAATATTTTCTGCTTGAGAAAGTAATACTCAAGCAGAAAAACTGAACTGGTTTGATATTTGAAACACTCATATGAAAATCAGATTTTGCTAGTTATAATGGAAACAGTAAAAAAAATATGAATGGCTCGAAAGTCTGCATTCATCTCTTGTAGTATTAGTAGCTGCAATTTAGTGTGTTTAATAATTGAATGTCCATATCTAAGGGGATGGTTTCAGGTCCATTTTAAGATGAAAACTTCATATGATCCTTTGTCCTAAATGTTTTAACACAGGGTGGTAAGAAAGGTCAAAAAATAAATCGTTGATTATCAATATCTCTAATACCACTTAATGAAATTTGCCTTACATGTACACATGTCACGAGACATTCTCTTAATTTACCTGCCTGTTTTGATAGACAGTAATGGTATGCCGTTTATTTCTCTTGTTAAAACTTTCAATCACTTCTAAGCAAAAATCACTTGGATTTTTTCCAATCTGATGCACGGTTTTTATAAAAACGGTCATAAAATATTGTTAACAGGACAATATCACCATGCAAAGAAAATTGTCATTTTTTGGGTGGAAATCTTGGGTCGTACATTAAAAATTGAATTCTTTTAGTCTGACGCATGGTTTTTCACCAGAAATAGGCATAGTGAAATTGTCACACTAGCGATATTAGGATCATGCAAAGAAACGTTATTTTATTTTTGTAAGCGGATACCGCGTATCTGTGTGAAAAAAATAAGGGATCAAATTTGCTTAGAAATGACGGGATATCAAGAGTAGTTTTTATTTTAAGAGAAATCGGTTGCGTACTATCATTGTCTGCCAAAATGGGCAAGTGAAATCGGTAAGAACGTCGGTGGGAATTAAAAGAAAATTCGTACATTAAACATTACCTCTTGATAGTACATTTATGCCGAATTTTAATAAAGTATTTAAGGTGATATTACAGATGTTAACAAAAAAAAAGTATTGATTTTTAAAAAGTTTACGGCCCCGTTTATCAAATGTCCAGACATTTAGGACATACGATTATATGAAGCTTTCTTCTTAAAATGGAACCAAAAGTCAGCCACTTAAATATTGACATTCAGCTGGAAAACACTGTATATTTTATGTAATTAAATCTAAAGTTATTAAAGGCTATTGTAATACACTATTGTAGTTTTTCATTTTGGATATGTTTTTTGGAAATATATTTGTTCATATTTCCTGTTATTAGTGGTACCTTTCAGATGTAAGGGCTTCATTTGATTTCTGATACTTATGTGTTTTGACATACTATCTATGCATCTATCATATTGCATTTTTGCTAGACCATTGAAATTTTATTTTTGTGATTGTCATCATTTGCCGCTGTGCTTTGATGTCAAAAAGGCACTTTATCAAGTCTCGTTTAACATTTAAGCTCTCACATGCAACATTAACTATTAGACATTCGAGAACCTCCTGCCCAGGCCTAACAGAGCTCCTCTTGAGCTCAATAGCTTTTAACTTTTATGATTATACAGGCTTATGCTTACCTACAAACTGCAGTGTAAACACATGCCAGTCACAAAAAGCAAATTCACATTTATTTCTGTAAGGTTGTCTCCTTCAAATATGCTTTCAAGTGCCTGGATGCATGAATCTATTCTTAGGAAGATCATTCGCGTCTTCATCCTTCCAAAATAGATATGGAATTTTGCTGAGTTTTGTGTGCATTATCGTGATGGTTTATATCTGCAAGGAAGATCCATAGATTCAAGAAACATTAAAAATTTTACACCTAGCGGTAATATTTTTTAGAGTTATAGTCTCAAATGTTTAGGTTAAGGTTTCCACTAA